TTTTTATTTTCCTAATTTTTTGTTACATTTAGACAAAAAAAAACTTTTTTTTTTTATTTACAGTTTATATTAAGCAGTCACAATGACTGCTTGATAAATTAACGTTTTTTTTTATTTGTAGTTATTATGCTGCTCCAAACTTAGGAACAGCTTAAATACATTAGAGATTGATCCTGACAGCATGTCAGAATCAGATCTCACTAAGGCTGGGTTCACACCTAGGCGTATCGAATATGCGCGTTTGTCGTGCTTTTCGCATTAAAAACGCACAAACGCACGTTTGAGGGCTACCTGGCTGTATCCCAATGGATATGCGCGACAAAAACTCCCCAAAGAAGCTCCTGTACTTCTTTGGGCGTAGGGCGTTTTGTAGCGCGTTCATACGGCCTGTAATACGCCTAGGTGTAAACCATACCCATAGGAAATAATGGGATTTCGGTGTTTGAGCGTTTTGCAGAGCGTAGGAACGCCCAGGTGTGAACCGGGCCTAAAGGTTCTCTATCATGTTGATACATTTCAAGTACAGAGAAACATTTGTATCTCTTTGCCTGAAATGTATCTAAATATCGGGCCAGGCTATACAGCTGTCAAAAGGAATAGCAGAGAGGTGAGTCACTGCTACCTCTCTGCTATCGTCAGCTGTCAAATACGGGTTCTCTATTTAGCATCCCGTATATGTAAAGGGCTTCATTCTCTCATTAATGAAAGAAAGCTTTTACAAAAGCCTAACTATTTCATTAATGAATGCCTCAATACTGAGGCATTCATTAATGAATGGTAAACGCTGAGAATCAGCTGTTGCCAGCATTACAGAGCCTTAAATAACTCATCACATACAGTGTACGTCATATAGGCACTTTGTGACGGGATGTACACTGTACGTCCCACCACCTTAGTTTAAACACTGTTTAATATCACTTTAAAATGTTTACATTGGTATTTTAAGTCAATAGGTTTTTAAGCCATTTCAAATGCTGATCAAATCACTTACAATAGATGCTGCTCCTTTGATGTTTTAATGTTTTAGTTTCCTGCAGAATCAGCTGGTCTCCTGAGCAATGGTTCTGACTTCCTGTTTCTTTCTCAAGCAGTTTTCTGCAGTCACTCATGTGTGCGCTAGTAAGCAGCGCAAGTCTCCCCCCTAGCCCCCTTTCCTCTAAGCTAGTAGGTAAAAGTTGCTGGCATCTGGACTGTCCTTTGTGATCTTGTACCGGACAGACAGTTCAGGGAAGCTGAGCTGAGGACTAAAATATCACGTAAATAAACTCACAAGCTGCTACTTGCCAGACCAGGACCTGAACATCTCTCCACAGCAGAAGGAGCGCTAGTTGGGTCCTAGCATAAATAGGGATAAACAGAATTAAATATAATCTTCTCTTGCAAACATTTTTTTAACCAAAGAAAGATTTAAAATCTATTCTGCTTCACAAAACAAACGGCTCCACAAAGAACATAAAAAGGGCAATATGTATGTCCTTTCTAAGAACTGGAGTCACTTTACCTACAATAGTATGTTGGGTATATAGACCACAGGTAAGTTTCTTGATATATGGAGCAGACATTGACCTCAGCGGAGCAACTCGACTCGCTGGTGGGGGGGCCACCAGGTAGGCCCTCAAATACAGAGCCTCTACATGCTTAAAGGAAGCTAAAAAGATCCTCTATCATGCCACTGAAAAGAACATCAGTAAAATAATGGATGGCAATATGCTAAAAATCACAGGCTTTGCTGTGCCTGGTGCTGTTTTAGTGGAGGCATTTTAGTTTCTTTTAACCAATCTCACCATAACCTGTCTGGATATACTTGGTCTTTTCCACAGAAAGAATGTTTTTTTTCTTAAAACTAGCCTGTACTAGAACAAATTTAGGACCAAATAGCTTCATAATAATAATAGGGCTGTAGTTGTTCTATTAGCCCATTGCTTTGGATGCACAGTTGGCCATTGAGGAATAAAAGGAATGATTTACATGCCCCTGCCCACTAGAAAGAAGAATTGTGATGGGAGTATAAACTTCTGTCACAAAGCAAGTAAACCCGAGTTAAAAACTCATTACAAAAACAGTGCCAGAGTCTGATGTGCTGAAACAATACTCACATCAGGTGAACACAAGGCATGTGCTGGTCCAAGAAGGTTGGCAGTCTCCAGCAGATTGTGAGTGACTTTGGCAATTATTTCTTTCAAGGATGCCAACTTAGCCTGCAACGAAAGAATACCAATTGTGATTTTATAGTTACAAAATCACTCCAGGAATCAAGACTGCCTAATCATTCACTGTACGCCATACATTCCTCCTTAACAGAAACCAATACCTGTAGGGTTTTTAAAGTTGACGAAATTACAAAGAAACTCCCCTAGCAATTATAGAGTACAAATACAATACTTTATGAATACTTCAACTGCAGCTGGCCTGCTCTCCTGGTGGGTACTCGGGAAGAAGAAAAAGAGGCAGATACAATGTGAACACTGTAGACGGTATTTGTATTGTTAGTACAACAAAGTCATGAAGTAAGCAATGTGGCACAATACACATGAACCTGGCATTAACACGTCAGACATAAAAGCTGCATGCATCATACTTTCAGATAAAAAAAAAGGGTCTTGCAGTTGAGATGCTTTTACCCAGCTTGCACTTATATTGACTTGTATGAAGCTGCATTTACCAAACCGTGAAGCCACGCACTGTGTTCCAAAGTCTTCTAAACAACTTAGTAACAAGTATCAGACCCTTGATCAGCTACAATTTCCTGTTTATTCAACTTTACATGATATGCTGGCTGCAGCAATTTTTTTTTAGCCCAAGAATATTTCAGCATTTAAAGAACATGCTTGTTGATCTTGCCAGAAATACAAGCCCTTGCTACTTCCTATGAGCCAAACTGAAAGCACAAATATTCTTCCATAAAACCATCTTCTTTAAATTCCCCTATTCCCCAGGCTGATGTCATACCTAGGACAGATTAACGTTTCCATTTGCCGCTATGATCTTCTATTGGCAGGATTGCTTTGGACGACACATGCAGGGAAGTGAAACAAACACTCATCTGCTTGCACATGTTGCATTTAATTTGCAGTGAGGGATGAACACATCGAAAGCTGGGGAGTGTTCCCTCTGCATTTTCTAGCAATCCAGTCACTGGTGAGTTCTCATTTGTGATAGGATCAAAAAGGGGCAACATTAGCCTAAAGGAGATCAAGAGAAAGACCTCTTTGTAGCCCAAAAAAGGAAAGCAGCATGGGTGAAAACCATGGCTTCCTCCATATACAGTGGAAGAGCGAGTGTAGCCATCCTAAGACAGGAAGTGTGTGTTATTTGAAAACTCATGTAAAAAAAGCAAGGAAAAAAAAAAGGCCAGACAACCACAAAAAAACCCCCCCAAAAACTAATGCATCCACCAAATCTAAGGACTGTCAGACTGCAATATACTAAACTTGCATTTTTTGGGGTTTAGATACACTAACTTTTTGACTAAAGAGGGCTAACGCATAAGACTACAGTCACATCTGCTGTGCTTTTATCCTGAGCTTCTACCTGCAGAGTTAAGCTGGCCATACACCTTACAACCATCGCATAACTTTTGTTGTGCAATGGTTGTAAGGTGATCAAAAGTTCGTAGGACCTGCCCATCTTGGACAGGCAGATCGTACGTGCGATCATCGCAAGTCTTCCCTGCTGAGATGGCTTAAATATGATTGCAATGGTGAGCAGGCCGTGTGCGCTTGCGCACCTCGGCCCGTGCGGCTTTGGGTCTTACGATCGCGCTACCAACCCGACCAAAATTGTACGATTTTCGGCAGGCTATATTAGGGGCACCCTGATCAAAATTGGTTCACGAGTCAAGCGCCAGCGCCTACACCAAATTTCTTCTCTGTTGACACAGATTCACCTACTTGAGACCCGTCATAAACGGCACATGGACGCAACTATACTAGTCCAATTGACAGCACTGAGAGAAACCTTACGCTCCTTGTGCCTGCAGAGAGCGAAAGCGATGTTGGCGAAATGCAGGAGACACTTTTATGAATACAGCAACCAATGTAGCAGATCTATGGCCCATGCGCTCCGTCACCAACGCTCTAAAACCTTCATCCCAATCATAAAATCCCGGTCGGGGTCCCTATTACACCAGTCCTCAGAGATCGCAGAACAGTTTCGCGAATATTACTCCTCCCTATACAACCTCCCGCAACCCAGCTCGGCAGCTGTAAACGCACGGCGCCTCTCCCGCATCCGGGCGTATTTGGAGTCCTCGGGCATGCCTTCTGTCTCAGACGAGGTTGCTCGCTCCTTGGACCTCCCGATTACAGAATTAGAGCTGGAGACGAAAACAGACGAACACAGGGAAGGCCCCTGGTCCAGATGGCTTTACCCTGCTGTACTACAAGCAATATGCCTCCCTCAGTTCTCATTTTGTCAGAGCACTGAACTCGGTGCGGAGCGGAATTGAGCTGCCCGTGGACTCTGTCCGCCCATATTGCGGTCATCCCAAAACCGGGTAAAGATCCTTTGTCCTGCCCGAGCTACCGCCCAATATCCTTATTAAATGTAGATACGAAACTGTTCTCAAAAATAATGGCAATACGTATCCTTCCTTACATTGGGAGGCTGATACACCCGGATCAGGCAGGTTTTGTCCCTTCCCGAGAAGCTAGAGACAACACTACTAGAGCAATAAATCTTATCCACTCTGCCATGTCGAAGGCTACCCCTGCCTTTATTTTATCCACGGATGCGGAGAAAGCCTTCGACAGGGTGGATTGGTCATTCATGAGAGCCACCCTGGAACATATGGGCCTCGGTCCACACATGATGTCGTGGATTTTGTCCCTGTATTCCCAACCATCAGCTAAAGTGCAGGTGAATGGATGCTTGTCAGACAGGTTCTCTATCTCAAATGGAACGCGACAGGGATGCCCACTGTCCCCTCTGATCTTTATCATTACCCTGGAACCATTACTGAGGAGAATTAGGTCCAACCCGGATATACGCGGGTTGGAGGTGGGGGGACAATCTCACAAGGTGGCCGCTTACGCGGATGATCTACTTTTTTTCCTCACGTCCCCAGACATATCTTTACCTAACCTGCTAGCGGAACTCACTGACTATGGGAAACTATCCAATTACCATATCAATGCCCAGAAATCAGAGGCCCTAAACCTTACCCTACCTCCTGACCAAGTGCGCCGCCTCCAGAATAATTTTCCGTTCACTTGGTCCCCAGACTCGATCAAATACCTGGGTGTCCAGCTACCTAGAGAACTGGCGGAGGCCTACTCTATGAACTTTATACCCCTACTGCACAGGATAAGATAAGATTGGACCTCAGGGACTGGTCTCATCTGGCGTCATCTCTTGGACGGGCAGATGCAATGTCATCAAACAGAACGTTTTACCAAGATTACTGTACCCGGTACAAGCACTACCCATCTTGGTGCCCGGGGGGGGGTTCTGGACGACGGTTCAGTCCATGATCAAATTGAAAAAATTGTCAAATAAAGAATTTATAAAAAAAAAGAAAGTGCCAGTAAGCCCGAAAATTCAGTGCCTCCCAGCTTCTCTCCTCTCCACTGGGGGCCGGTCTGTGTGTCTTCCGATGCAGCAGCATGCACCCAGCGAGGAGGAGAGAAGGTTTCAGTAGATCGCCGTCAGCGTTGCAGGAGGTCAAGCTCTCCTCCCACATCAGGATGGAGAGCGGTGATTGGAGGAGAGCTCTGTGATGTCACAGGAGGCAGAGGTCTCCCCCCCACACCACCCTACCTCCTTTAACAGCTCCTTCAGGATGGAGAGTGGAGTACAAACATTCAGCGATGAGCTGATCACTGAATGTGTAAATAACTGGAGATAGTAACTCATACCATGTACCAGTTATGAATGAATAGGAAGTGATCAACATGACTCCCTGTTCGTTCATGATTGAGTACATAGTAACTCATAATTTTGAAGCAGCTGCGTTCTTGGTATCATTTTAAACAGCCGACAATGGCTGTTCAGATACAGCGTGATCTGGTGGCTATACAGCCGTCGGATCTCTTGTATGGTGGAATGTGTGAACAGGGAGCATCTAAAAATTTAAATTTTGCCTAGGCAGTAACCTGAATAATCTACCTACCTTCAGCCTGGAATACCTCATGAAAATTATGAGAGCATTACATACATACATACATACATACATACATACATACAGTATTAGATCTAAGACATGGTGCCTGACTGCTACTCTCACCAGATTTGGAGAGGAAGATATACCTGAGAATCTGAGCTTTCTGCTGTTCTTGACTATTCTTCCACCATTTGTTAGATTACCACTTACTAGTGTGGCAGCTCTAACATGAGAAAACAAAGCCCTGCATTTCTACCATGATGGCTATGTCCACACAGAGCAGAAAAGGGTAGGGTAAGTCAGTAACAAAAAAAAAAAAAAAAAAAAAAAAAATCGGCTTTACTTGTTGTAATTCCATTTTTTAAAATTCCTGGGTAACTGGAAATTACCCTTTAAAGGCTAACAAAACAAGAGCCTCCAGACATAAATGGGAAGAAATGCATGCATCATACACATTTCTGCATGTTGTTCATTCTGCATTTTCTTTTTTCTATTGCAAAAAAAAAAAAAAAAAAAAAAAAGCAAAACACACGCACAAAAGGTTCACAACAACCAAACACAACCACAGCACTAAAATTGCAAGCTTTTTCAAACACAGAAATGTAGACGGGCCCTTCTAAATCAATAGGACTGTCACCAAAATGTGGCAAATACCTCGCAAAAGTAGAGGGTTTATACTCATCTGGTCCTCACATTGTTGCGCTCTTGCAGAGCTATGGCTTTCCAGCAGAATTCTCATGTTCAACATTTTCAGGAGTGTCAAAACCTGCATCCCCAGCCACACTGTGGTTCTACCCACCACCCCACCCCTCACATTACTACTGTGTCCTGTAGTAACATAGGTACCTGTGCATGAAGCTACAGTATGTAGTGGGGATCAGGAATCTGAAAGTGTGTTGGACGTAGAGTCTGCAATCTCCCATACTGCAGACTCTACAATAGCCTGTAGAGTTCTGTATGGCCTGACTTCACAGTTAGGCCGCACAGATCCGTATCGGGAGGGACAGGTGCTGCGTGCGATCGTACGCAGCAGCCTGCTCTTCTCTATGGGAGGACACGGCCGTACGCCATCATACACACACCCACGTGGGTGTCCTGGCAACCACATCCTCCCATAGGAGAAGAAAAGGCTGCTGCATACAATCACACACAGCACCGGTCCCTCCCAGGGACAAGCCAAAATGGCTGTGCACGCCGCACAGATCAGTACGGCCGGACTATACGCTGTGTGAATGAGGCCTTACTCTGATGGGGACTTGACAACACTATAAATGCGCAACTTGAACCGGTAGGGGGACTCGACAACACTATAAACAACTTCAACAGGGGGCAGCGACGACTCGACAACACTATAAATGCGCAACTTCAACAGTTTTGTAACAAAAAAAAGGTCAAAGTAGTACCTTTATATCACACTACATCATCATATTGCACCTGTTCTGCAAGGAAATATACCAATCAAGTTTCTGATGGGTGGTGCAGAAAAGAGCAGGCCCACGTGATGCTGCACAGAGAAGGGAGGGACACTGTTTATATTGTGCAAATGATAAAGCTGTACCAATGTCCTGAACATGGAGAATTGAGGGTACGATCACAGCAGCTGCAGTGCATTCCGGTCAGATTCTGGCCAGAGCGCACCGCATTGCGGCCGGCTCACTTTTTTGTGGGTCAGGATGGGGCGTGGTGGGCCATTGAAGTGAATGGCACCGTAGCCACGTCCTCCAGCCACAACGCGATCGCAAGGTACATTGTGCTTGCGGTCCAGTGCGATCAAAATGCTGCCAGCACTATTTTGATCACAGCGGACCGGAGGCACAATGTGCCCTGCGATTCCGCGCGGGGAATCGCATTGCGGCTGGAGGGCGTGGCTACAGAGCCATTCACTTCAATGGCCCGTCACACCCCCTTCTGCCCCACAAAAAAGTGAGGCGGTCACAATGCAGTGCGGTCCGGCAAGAATGGGACCAGAACGCACTGCATCTGGTGTGAACGTACCCTTAGGGATATGCATTACGCATACTAATGAATTGTACTCACTTCTGATTGTCTGCTTCCTTGTTGGATGCTGAGCTTCCTCCTCAAAAGAAAGATTTCAAACATCGATCTCTGCTGCTCTCCTTTTAAATGCAGGATGATATCTTGGGCTTGTCTAGTCTTAAACTTCTCAGCTTCCAGAGCCAGGGCCAAAGCTTTGTTATTGGCCTGAAAGCTCGTTACAGATGTAGAATTATTGCCTGAAGGAAGAAGCAGCTGCATTAATAACATGCACATCACAAGGGTCAATCTATAAACAGATTGGAGGGAAATCTCTTACTGATGATCTTGACTTTTGTAGAGAACGCCTTATTGACTGCGGCCACCTTGGCAAGTTGTTTTGTTCGCTTTTCTTTCATCCGTTCTTTTATGTCTTCAAGGCTGTCCTTAAAGGTTTTCTTCAAACACCTTTCTTTCGCCATGGCTCCCTCAGTGCACTAGAAAAGGAACGTTATGTCACAAATAATTAGAGGAGAATTTGCTATTTGGCTTCAGAAGTAGGACATTACTATCAGCATAATGACAGGTCCTATTTAAAGTGACACTAAACTCAGGCATTAAATCTTTAAAATACATTAACCATCAACAACAAAAAGTATCTTATTTGTTCATTACTCCGCTGTAGATCCTCAACTCATCTCTGAATTGGTGCAGACGCTGTCCTTTCCAGAGGGTGACTACTTGTGTTCCAAATAATCCCTGTGTGTGTGTGTTGTAAAGTAGTCACCACTCCAAGTTGCCTCCTGTGATGGAATACAATCTCCATACAAATGAGTAAACTAACCCTGAGATTGTATTGCACCACAGGAATGAGATTGGAGCGATGGCTACTTTACAAGACAGACACACACGTCTGCTCTAGACGGGCCTGTGTGCAGTGCAGCCTTCACCCTCTACTCGTCCCCCGTGTAGCGCGCGACTCCCCCGCTCACCGGCCTTCCGCCGCTTCCTCCGTCACCCGCACTCTATGTACCTGCACGACCACAGCTCTGCACTCCCGAACACCGAAGCAAGGTATTCCTGAACACCGAGACCAGTACAACTAGGCGTCAGTTTAAACGTGTGGCGCCGTGCACTACGATTGGCTAGAATAGCTAAACCATGTGACCGGAAGTTGTCGATAAACTTTAGCCGGATGTTATTATGAGGACGAAAGCCGGAAGCGGACATATTTGTTTTGGGAATTGCCTGCGCGTGATCATGTGTTCCTTGGTCGTTTTCTTTAACCCTTTCTCTGACGGTCAGTTTTTTTGCATTAATCCCCGCCTACACCTACTGAAATGCAGATTTTTGTCTTAATGAATACTTAAAACCCCTAAAATTATAATATTGTCTGTAAGCGGATGACCTGTAGAATTAAAGGATGATAGTTGCACATGTTTAAGTTTAGATATATTTGCACAATTCTTTATTAAACCTATTCACAGTAAACATTTGCACTACAATTCATTTCAGCGTTCACAGACATGATATCATTGTATTTTTTGTGAAATGAAAAGATGAGATTGTGTCGAGTGAATAAATATTAAGATATTCATGTACCTGCAGGGAGTTAGATATGATACTGAAAATTGCCCATAGGCGATGATTTAAAAACCATTAGGGCCCATTCACACTAGCCCGTCTGCTATAATGTATAGACTTCTACGTGGATACAATGCAACGCAATGTGAAAAATTGTGTTGCATTGTATCCACGTAGAAGTCTGTGCTCAGATTTATCAACACAAATGAGGTTTAGACACTTTGTTATCACTTGATTTATACATAGTTGTTTTTGATATTTTTTCATTGGGACGTTATTCACTTATATGTATATACACATATATAAACCTTGAGGAGGTAACTAGTCCCCCAGTTCGGTGGATATATATATATATACATTCAGAACAATGCAATATATTAATTTATATTTTACACCTACTTTCTTACGGAATCCACCTTTAGTGCTGTGTTATCACTTGCACATCATATTTTACCAATTCATAGCAGCTTTAGGATTAGTATTCTAACTTTTTAGCCTTATCTTTCCAAGAGCGCAGATTCTTTTATCTAAATCCGTCTGCTATAATGCAGCGTTTTGGCGGATGGGCTACTGCGTCGTGTTAATTTTGGCACCAAATGTCATTTTCCTCTTAGTGTTAGTCTTTTAACGAAAATTCATTTTTATTTTTAGTCACATTTTAGTCACCAGATTAATTTGGGAGGGAGAGGTTCTTGAATTAAAAAAAAAACATTCATTAGGGGGAATTTATCCTAACTGGAGCAGATATAATCGGAAGCAGTTGCCCTTAGTAACCAATCAGCTACTCTCTTTAGTTTGTTCAGTTAAAGGAGAACTATGAGATGAGTGATTTCCTGTCATCCTCATAGTTAGAGGTCGTCTCTATTGATCGGGAAGTGAGCAGAAACATGCACCGATCTGCTCACTTCCCGACCGTCTCCCTGCAGTGAGCGGTGACTGTCAGTCACCGTTCCCCGCACGGATTCAAGGGGGCGGACACAGCTGGCTCTGCCTCTAGATAGGCAGAGCCAGCTGTCACTCACGCAGCTGGATGGATCTCAACAGTATTGTCAGGATCCGTCCCGGCTGCGGTGCTGTCAGTGTATCGTGGGCAATTGCTGATATATTGAGCTTTGGGTCACAGAAGGGGGTTAGTATATGTCCCCCTGTGACCCTAGAACTATGGGGAAAAACACTTACATAGTTATCTTTTAAGCTATGAAAATGAAAGATCGGAAGCTGATTGAGGCAACTGCTCCAGATTCTGTCTGCTCCATTTTTTGATAAATACCCTTCAGTATATTTTCAAAATCATTTTAAAACACATTTTACATTTTCTTTTATTAATTTTTTTTACTTAACTTTATTGCTATCACGAGTGTATGATATATGATATCAGTAATGACTTGACAGGTCTTCTTTATGGAAAAATCATCCCTAGTCTGTAGGACTCCTGATATCTCCCCTGCACTGACACCAAGAAGATGAAGGACATAAAGTCCAATAGTGGTTTTTTTCAGCAAGTGACTAATACTATTTACTGAGAGGCCACATAGAAAACAACCTTTTCTATGTGTTCAATTCACACCACAATGCAGCGTGATGTGCGGTACGAAAAAAATGCAAACGTGGTGTACTTTTCACTTGGTGACGAGGGAGCATGGAGTCGGTTTCCCAGCCAATCAGGAAGCCAGGTGGCGTGTAATGACTCACCGCCCAGCTTTCTGATTGGTCGGGAATCTGGCCAATCAGGAAGCTGGCTCCATGCTTCCTTGTCACCTGGTGATGAGGGAGCATGGAGATGGCTTCCCAGCTATTTGGGAACCCGGGCGGCGAGTCATTAACCACCCCTCAGCTTCCTTAATGGGACTTCCGATATCGATATCCGGTATCGGCGAGTACCGAAGAAAAAAAATCGTACTTGATACTGAAAAAACGGTATCGGTGCATCCCTAATACTTATCATGTATGGGGAGCTATGAGGTATATATGGGGAAGTGAAAACAGGGAGGTAGGCGGTATACATTGTCATGTATGAGGCGCATACAAGGAAGGTATATACAGGGAAGTATGAAGTGATTACAGGGATGTATATACAGGGGAGTATGAGGTGTATACAGGGAGATATATACAGGGGAGTATGAGGTGTATACAGGGAGATATATACAGGGGAGTATGAGGTGTATACAGAAAGGTATAAAAGGGGCGCTATATACGGTGAATTATTAGGTGTATATTGGGATATATATACAGGATGTATGAGGTGTATACAGGAAGGTAGATATGGGGAGGTATTTACAGGGAAGCATGAGGAGTATGCAGGAAGGTATACTTGGGGAGGTATATACAGGGAAGTATGAAGTATATATTGGGAGATATATACAGGAGGTATAAGGTGTATATAGGAAGGTATATCTGAAGATCGGATAGCTGTGAGGGGGAGGGGACAGCTGAGAGGGGAGGGCTCACCTGCACACGGTTCCCAGGCTCTGTGCAGCTATTGGCCAGCAGGCTCAGTGCCAGCTCAAGGTTTTGGCTGGAACTTCCTAAGGCCGCCACCTGGACTGGATCAGTCAGCAGGGCAGTGGCAGCCAACTCTTCATGCGGAATTACTCCAGCCCAGGACACGTGATGGGTTCGGAGCACGGTTATCGCTCTGCTGAGTCCATTCGTATCCTCCGTTGCTGCGGACAGCTGGAACAGACATGAGGACAGAGACTGCCGCAGGGGGCCAACGGAAGACGGTGGTAATGCGCATGTGCCCTTCTACAGGTTACCATGGCAAGTGGGCGAGACCTTCCTCCTTCAGTACAGGCAGCCTGTGCTGGTGTCAGGATCCAGAGCACCCCCAGGTGGCGCTGGAGCCGGGTCCTGCAGTTCCTGTGCTCGCCTGCAGGTGTCTCCAGCAGCCAGGAACTGTAAGGAACCTGCAGCTCCGGTACTCACCTGCGGGTGTGCCCCAGCTGTGACTGCTCATCCCATCACCTGGTGCTTCCTGGGAGGGTATTTAGGCCCTCCCTGCAGTCAGGAAGCTGGGTCAGTATTGTGTTGCTAACCTGACTGATGACCTTGCTCCCTGAACCTTGCTCCCTATCTGAAAACCTGTCACCGACCCGGCTTGTTACCCGACCACTCTCCGTTGAATCCTGTACCGCGCTGCCCTCCTGTTGTCGACCCGGCTTGCACCTGACCACTCTTCATCAATCCTGTTCCTGTACCGCGCTGCCCTCCTGTTAACGACTCGGCTTGTACCTGACCACTCTTCTGGTATCCCGAGGCCTGCTGTACATCTGCAGGCCTGTTACCCCTCTTTGTTGGGTTTGTAGTTTTGTTGATGTGGAACCAATAAACTGTGCATATAACCCTATCCTGTGTGGGCATATTAATTTGGTCATCCTGTGTGGGTACCTGCATGTGGTGTGAGAATGCCTGTGCAGGGTACCCTGACAGCTGGGTTCAGGCCCCCCTGCTGATTTGATGGGGTCCGACCAGTAGAGGAGGGCTGCCTGTACCCACTTGTTGGCAGCTCTGGCCACGGGCCCCCTCCTTGCCGCAGGCCCTCGGGCAATGCCCGAGTGGGCGAATGGTCAGTCTGCCCCTGGTCAGGAGTATGTAATAAAAAGCCCAGTGTACAGAGAGCAGTGGTCAGGAGTATGTCATATAAATCCTAGTGTACAGAGTGCAGTGGTCAGGAGTATGTCATATAAATCCTAGTGTACAGAGTGCAGTGGTCAGGAGTATGTCATATAAATCCTAGTGTACAGAGTGCAGTGGTCAGGAGTATGTCATATAAATCCTAGTGTACAGAGTGCAGTGGTCAGGCGTATGTCATATAAATCCTAGTGTACAGAGTGCAGTGGTCAGGAGTATGTCATATAAATCCTAGTGTACAGAGTGCAGCGGTCAGGCGTATGTCATATAAATCCTAGTGTACAGTGGTCAGGAGTATGTCATATAAATTCTAGTGTACAGAGCGCAGTGGTCAGAAGTATGTCATAAATCCTAGTTTACATCGTGTAGTTCAGGCCTCAAAATTTCCACTCGCCCCCTCGCAATTGACGAGTGAAAATTGCGGCAAGGAGCGCCGCCGGCGGGACCAGAGATGGGACACTACCGCCGCGGCAATTGCTCGCTTCTGTTCTCTCTTCTCATCGGCCACTGTAGCTACAGAGCGGCTGATGAGAAGAGAGAACACAAGGGAACGATCGCCGTGGCAGTAGTGTCCCATCTCTGGTCCCGCC